GGGTACATGGACCCTTAGGGTATAGTCTCCATTGTAGTTCCTTTTTCTGGTTAAACCAATTATATATGAAGGACTTTATAAGGTATCCCCAAAAAGGAACTACAATGGAGACGACAGATATCATAGAATTGAAGTTGGGGTTCCTTGGATAGGGGCCCCTGTGTAACCAGGATCCCACCATTATGGATTGTCGGTTCTGAAGCTCTCAGATATCTCTTTCTGGTTTGGGGGTTTAGGGTTTAAAGGGTTTAGGGCTTCAAAAAAGCAGCAGTACTGAAGATCCCCTGCGCCTCAGTTTAATCATGCAGGCCACTGTCCGCTCTCAACCGTTAACGGCTTAGGGTTCAGGGTCTAGGGCTAAATCCTTGAACCCTATACTCCTTAACCTCTCCCTACTGAAATTCCGAACATGTCTGAGAAACGTCTCTTGCGCGGATCCTCGCTTCTTGTCGAGTACCCGACTCCACAGTCCGGGTGCGAAAGTCTCGGTAAATTCCGGTAAACGGGAGTTACACAAAAGAGGGGCCACAAGTATCGACCATAAGTCTCATTACATAACCCTAAGGGTCCATGTACCCAAATAGTAGAACATTGGCCCTAAAGTACCGAAATAGGGACTACATTAAGGCCAAAGTATATGCTATTTAGGTACATGGACCCTTATGGGTAAGAGGACCGCGTTTCAAAGCACCCCTGGTTTGAACAATCCGTCCCCGCACTCCCAAATGTTGGGACACCCATGTCCCATCACACAACATTGCCGAGTGCATAGCGGCATAGCGCCTGCTTCTATGGCACATGCTGTCACATGTGCTGAATGTGGTGCCAATGGCTCCGAGTTGAAATACCTAAGATCTCGAAACATGCTACCGTTTGTGGTGTTCCCTTTTTCGTGACCGGAACCCCGAAAGATGAAGGGCCTACGTACATTCTACCAGAAAACCAACGGTTTCCCACAAGAAGGCAAACCCTGACCCATCTGAAGCTTCCACCTATAATCCCTCAGTGTACCCTAACCCCGGAGCTTGAGGCCTCAAATCCAAATAGAAGCTTTCCAAACCTGAACTCGCAACCGTAATTAAACTCTAAAGACCTTAAACCCTCAGAAGCCACGCCTCGAAGGCTTCGCAGCGATGGCAGCCCGAGAGCGACGCGAGAAACTCCGCGCCGCGCAGCGCGAGAAGGCGGCGGCGCAGCCACTTAGCGAGATATTTAAGGTTTCGGGGTTTAGTCTTTAAGGCTTTAGGGTCTAGGGGTTTAGGGGTTGTGGGATTCAGGGCTTCAGGTTCCCAAAAGTCAGAGTATGCCACTCGTCTTTAGGCCTCTAATGTCATCTGTGTCAATGTTCCTTGCAGCATCAACTACTGCAAGGCTTGTCTAGTAAGCGAACATATAGACAAACCTATGTCATTGTTATTCTTATCAGACATGGAGAAGACAGGCACTTTGTTTATCGTATGTGCACGTGTGGCTTTACTTATTTAAAGCTACGACAAGGCGAATGTCTTTCGTTCTATGTACATAGTCTGAATGTTTTGCTAGTCTGTTTGTCTTCCGTCGGAGACAGCATGAAAGCGAAGTTTCTTGCCCGCTCGCAACAGGTGATGACGAGTCCCTCCAAATATAAATTAACAGCAACGCCCAATTTTTCAGTATTCTGAATAGATGCCTTTGTCCAAGCTGCTTGCTAAAAGTACTAACATGCACTTCAGGACAAGCACACACACACACAC